CTTTTATGAAATAGAGGCGGCGTTTTAGTTTTCGAAAACAATGTTCCGTTTCCATAAAAAATGCTCTAGGTTCAGGAAAACAATATTCCAAGTTTAGTCAAATAAAATATTATATTCATATGAATGGTATTATAATATTGATGAAAACAAAAAATAAGTACCAAATGCTATGAAATAAAATAGAAACAATAAAATGATAAAATCTTAAATAAAAATACAAAAGTACTGAAAGATAGAATAAAACAGTCAAAGGTACTACAGAACATCCCATGCATACTATATGAACATTACAAAATACATTATAAAACATCACATGTAAAAATACATCATAAAACGTTACATTTATACTACATGAACATTATATTTGTACTATGTGAAAATCTCAAAGTACATCATAGAATATCACATATATACTATATGAGCATCAAACATATATCATGGAATAATGAAAATTAAAAAATAAACATGAAAACAAAGGAAATTAGCAATTAAAATAATTAATCAAAGTAAAATAAAAGAAGTAGAAACAAGTGAAAGAAAACAATAATAACAAATGCTTCGAGATATATATATAAATAAATTAATAAAAGACTCAATAGAACATAGGGAGAAAATAATTAGAGTAAAATAAAAAGAAAAAAAATTAAAGCAAAAGAAAAATAATAAAATCACTAAAAACATAAAAAAAATAAGCAAAAGAAAAAAGAAATAGAAGAAAAGAAAAAAATTAAAAAAGGAATAAAAGACGAAAAGAAGGAAAAATAAAAAAGAATAAAATATGACAAGAATAATAGAACAAAAAAAGTGAAAGAGAAAAAAGGGAAAAAGAAATAGTAGAAAGGAAAGAAAAATAAAGAGAAAAAATGAAAAAAATGACGGAACGCACGTACCTGGGAGGGAGCGACTCGCTCCATGGGCTGATTGCCAAAATACACAAAGCGGGCGGGGAGAGCGCGAGGCAACGATGGTTTCCATTAGGAAAAAAAATCTACATTATCATCTTCAATTTCTGTGAAAATCTGTTTTTTTTCTCTGAACTTAAAAACCAGGGAAACCACCTTTCTAAACTTTTAAAACCGTTTATTTTAGCTCCCTGACAGGTTATAAGCGGTTTTCAAAGACGGTTTTTTCTTTTTTCTTTTATTTATTTATTCCAGCTGAATCTTTAAAAAAATCATAGTAAATCTTTGAAAAATCATAAAATAGAAAATCTAATTTTGTTAGACTCTATATGAGTAGATCTACACAGTGAACATATAACATGGTATGCTTTAGTATAATTTTTTTTATATAGGTTTAGAATCTATGTTTTTCTATAATTAATTCATAACTGCAGTTTCTATGATCCAATTATGATGAAATTTTTATGGCAGGTTAATTATTGTATGCTTGAACTATAGTAAAAATATTATACTCATTGGATCATGTATAACTTAGTTATAGATCGCCATAAAAATAAATCTATAACTAAGTTGTACATGATCAATGAGTATAAAATTTTTACTATAATTCAAGCATACAATAATTAGTCAAACATAAAAAATTCATCTTAATTGGATCATAGAAACTACAGCTATGAATTAATTATAGAAAAACATAGATATAAAACTACAGTAAAAAAATTATACTGTAGCATACCATATTATAAGTTTACTGTGTATATCTACTCATGTGGAGCCCAACAAAATTGGATTTTCTATTTTATAATTTTTCAAGGATTTACATGTCTTGTGCATCTCTATTTCCCGCGCCCTCCTTCATTTCATGCGCCCGCATCGCCTGGATGCCTCGCCCTGCCAGCACTACTCGCTCGCACACAGAGATTGCACGCTTCCGCTCCGCTTCCCATGTGCAGGCAGGGACCGTCTGCGCCCCTCTCTGTATCGTGCACGTAGGGACCACCGACGCTTGTGCCTGCTCTGTATCGTGCTCGCACCTCCGCCTACATATGTGCGCCATGTGACTCTGGCCATCCCATTCGACGCTTCAAACATGAAAACACTTGCGATATAAAAAAAACTTGCTGCAACATTCGTCCGAAACAAATAAAACATTTGGAACAAACACGTGCAACATCGGTGTGAAACATATGCAACATCCAGATAAAACACTTGCAACGTGCGTCTAAAATAGATGAAACATTTCAAACAAACTCTTGCAACATCTGTTTGAAAACATATGCAACATTTAGATAAAACACTTGCAACATACATATAAAAAATAGATAAAATATTTCGAATAAACGTTTGCAACACGTGCAACATCCATGCTAGGTAGCAAACGTGCCAATGTGTGCGATGGAATCTAATTCGTATTTGAGTTGGACTCGTAGCATTGTAGTATCAGAAGTTAGAACAAACTCTCCGCTATCAAGCAGCGAGGGAGATGGGTGATTATACACTGGTAGGTAGCACCGCGCTTTACCTCTGAACAGTGAAGAACAGTGCTCGAAACAGTAGCTAGCGATATGGCTACACGAGGGATCAGACATGACATGCTACAGTGCCCATGATGAGCAATGCTCGAAACAGTAGCCGGCGACGTGGCTACATTAGGAATCATAAATGGTATACAAGAATAAGAATAAAAAAATGGTAGAGATAGATGGTAGATAATAGTGGATATATATTCATACCAACTAATTTATTTGTTTGTGGTTTGTTTCTGCTTATTTGTTCGTGGTTGCATACTACTACAGTATATAATAAATAAACATAATCCCTAGCTGCTGTACAGGTACGGCTAACCACTTATGAAAATTAAGGACGCGGCCAAGGCGCCACCTATATATTAGAAATTCAGGATTAATTGCTAGAGCCACACCTCTAGAAATAGGAGCTGGTTAAATTTGATTTTTTTTACAAACGATCTCAAAGGATAAACGACGGAAATCGAAGTTATAGATCCCAAAGAATTATACAACTTGTAGTTGACAACATTTTTTTATTTAAAATCAAGATCTAAGGAAAATTATGTTTGAATCTCTGACATTTGAAATTCATATTTTTTAAACGGACTCGGTAAAGAAATAACCAAAACCAAAGAGCTATACAACTTTATAGTTAAAAACTTTTTTATTTGAATTCGTTTAGGATCTCAAATACTCATTTGAAAATCGAATGAAGATAATACGAGAAGAAAGAATATCTCGTATGGACATAAGTGACTTGTGGGTGGAGTAGTTTAGAAGAGCTACACGCTAGCCTGAGGTCAGGAATCACATAAGTTGATCACAAAGACATGATCAATTTCTTTTGTGTTTGTTGTTTATTAGGAGATCCTTAATTTCTTAACATCTACCTTTGTCGCTATGATATTTGTGCTGGGTCAAACTTTCTTACGATCGACTATGTTTGTACAAAAGATTAGCATCATTTGTATATCAAACAATAATGTTCAGGGAGTATGTTGTGAATGTTGCGTTTGTACTATATTGCGTATAAGTTGTTCTAGCAAAAATAAAAGGACTAGATAAAAGAAATGTTGTAGTAGAACAACAATAATGTTCAAGGAGCATGCGACAGCTGACAAGACACATTCTTTTTAAAAAAAATGGGACAAGACACATTCCCACCACATATGTTGAACATATTACTTCTTCTATTCTAAATCATAAGACATTTTAAGTTTTCTAAATATATTAATTTTACTACATAGGCTAGGTATAATTGTATATCTAGATGCATGGCAAAATTTATGTATTTAGAAAAGCCAAAATGTCTTATTTGGAATAGTGAGTATTCTGTTTTTTTTTACTTTTTGTTACTACTCAGTGCTAAAAAAAAAGAAGCGTAGATGCTCTTGTTCTAGTATTCTTTAGCTTTTAGTTGCTTTGAGTATTCAGTTTCATACACTTTTTGGCCAGCACATTACTGTCTTGTATCCACTAGCATCTCGTACCACAGTATTATTGGCTAGTAACAACTCTATATAGTATCATTCAGTATTTTCCTGTATGATACAGTACCTTCCAGTATTATCCTTGGTCAGTAACAACTGTATCAAATAGCATAGAGTACTGTTCTATATGATACAATTCCTTCTAGTATATCTTCTAAAAACATACAATACTCAGTAGTCATTTTTCTATGTATTATGTTTTCGCATTCATTTTTTTTCTAATTTTTACACATACCAGGAAATGTTTCTCTATGACCAATATGCTATATGATCGCAAATACTTGTTGTGAGACAAAAACACTATACCATGGCTAATAAGTTGAAGCGAACATGTTGATTTTGGTCTTTTTTTTTTTTTTTTTGACCGATACAAAGTTGGTGATCGGCGGGTTATATCTCGAACTAGGGGGCGGAATTTAATTTGGGCTGTGTGTGCATGACTGCATGCTGCTGAAGCCCGATGACAGAATATGATGTGCTTCTTCTAACCAACGCCATGGGCCGTGGTACGCCATTGGCCCAATCGAAGCACCAAATCGGCTTCTAACCGGAGCCTGTTACGATGGGCTGGGCCCTTTTACAACACGTCCGCGCCAATTCAGTTCCTCTCATCCAATGGTTCTTTCCCCCTCAAAACAATTAATCGAATGGTTTCCCTAAAAAATGGTTGAGCACATACCCTCCTGTGAAAATGGAACACGTTACTTTCGATTCTTCCATTCCCTACGTCCTCTTTGTCTAAGCTTACTTCACTGATTATATTAAAAGAAAAATCAGAGACAATTGTTTGCAAAGAGAACCGATCTTCTCTGAATGTTCAAGTTCAACAACATCAGCAATTCACTCTTCTCTCTGTGTTACTTCCGGCCTGGTAAAGTCAGCAAGCTGTTAAACAGATGCAACGGACAGCTGCTGCTGCAGGCTTGCAGTTCCTCGCAGCAACTGATGGCCCTTTCAAGTAGTCACTGTACAGTGTACACCGGTGTGCTGTAGTATCCAGTCCGCAGTCACCGGACAGAGCCTGGTAGTATAGTATCTCTCTATACGTCTCTTGTGTCTCAGAAACTTCTTGTCAAGATGTAAAAGACCAAAACTGGTGACTATTGTAATGAAAAACTGTTGTGGATTGCTTTGACAATCTTCTCAGACAGCTCGGTGCCCCGCAATATGAGATACAGCACAAACGAAGCATAAATGAGGACCGCCACGCAGAGAAGCGAGCCAGATAGGGGGCCTCGGATTTCAGAAGAGAAGAAATCCATCAAGAGGTATCCGTTGATAGTGATCAGCAGAGTGGCCACGGTCCAGGTTACAGCCTGCATAAAAAAATGTTGAAGCTCGGTGAGGTCATGAGGATAGCATCAGGTTTGAGATTTGACATGCCAAATCAAGTCGGCAAGTTAGTGCAGTGAGATTTGACTGATAAATTAGCTGAAAATCCGGTGGAGATGTGATTAAATGCAGGTTTTTATTTTTCTCAAAATATGTTCTAGTATATAACTAATAATTTTTCTTTCAAAAAAAATATAACTCTAATAATCATCTATTTCAAGAAGTTTTGTGAGGAGGCTATTTCGCCAAGGCATGAAACAGTGAGTTTTCTGCAGCAAAAAGGGCAATAAGGCACTACCAAGAACGCAATGAATTTGTGTAATGGGAGTATCAATTATCACTAGTTTGATTAATTACAAACTAACACCGTATCATATCCCTATATTCTATCAGTTTTGGGTTTGGCATGCATGGACCATGAATAAAAGTATAAAACAAAGGGCAGAAAGTGCACAGTACATGAAAAAAGGTACATTAGGGTATCAAATTCATGATAACTTACTTGGGTGTTAGGGCCTATTTTGAAGACCCCCATAACATGCTCCTTGGAAACCAAGGTTATGAGTGGAATGAGCGCAAAAGGGATCTGAATTGATTGGAGCACATTGAGCCACTCATTTAAAACATCCAGTGCGGAATCAGATGTGTTGAAGAACAAAGCAACAATTATAGTAGGCACAATTGCGAAGCTTCTGGTGATCAATGCCTGACCCATTTTTTAACCTTAAATTCAGAAATCCACCCATTATAAACTGTCCAGCATAAGTTCCTGTTATCGTACTACTCTGCCCAGCCGCTAAAAGCCCAATCCCCCAGATGTACAGTATAGGAAAAAATCCTCCACCAAACTTCTCTTGCAGATACTGTCCAGCATTTTCAAGGCCAATATTACCAGCCTCCTTGCTTCCATAAAATCCTTTTGCAAAAACTGTTGTGACAAAGAGATTTATCATGAAAGAGATAGCTAATGCTATAGTTGACTCTATTGAATAGTATCTCAATGCTTCACGGACTTGATATTCCTTATTTTGATCTATTTTTCGTGATTGCACAAGTGCTGAATGAAGAAACACATTGTGGGGCATGATGACACAGCCAACAACCCCAACCGCTTGTCTTATTGTCCTTGAGCTCAATTTTGGAACCAAAATACCTGACATTACAAATTACGTGTGATCAGCGGATAAAGTTACACAATTTGCAGCATAAAAAAGGTCAATTATTGTCCTTGAGCTCAATTTGCAGCATCAAAAAAGGTCAGTGAGATCCTTACCAATCAACAAGTCTTTCCCATTAAACCCGTGTCTGTGAACATCCATGCAAAGGAGACAGCCATAGTTGCAATTAGAAATGCAAATACAGCTTCTAGTTTCCTCACCCCATAGTTTTCGAGCCAAAGAAAAATAAAGCTGAAAAGAGGTAACATAAAGGTCAGTGATGGTACAAATAAAAAAGTTTACTTAACTGTCATAAGGCACTTAATTAAACATGACATGTTTAAGTATATCGAAGTTATGCTTTCCAGGTGCAAAGAACAAGGTAGAAGACAGACAATATTTATTAATGTGCTTAAAGAAATGCACTTGTAATTTTTATCTTGCAACCATTTGAATAGATATGTGTATGTCATTCTATAAGCCAAGCAATGACTATCACAATCCAGAAAACTTTGGAACAAGATTGAAAAATAAAGAAGAAAGCAGATGGATGTCACACTAACAAAGAAGAAAGCAGATGGATGTCACATTCATGTAGTATTCTAACAGCTGTTGTTAAATAGCATCTGATTTCTAGCTGTCAGCAGCATCACTTCATTGTGCAAAAGTCAGCACAACACACTAGTTAATATTAATTATACACACCATCAGGACAAACAACAACAACATAGTCGACTACAAGACCAAACATTTTTTTAAGAGAAAGGGAACACCAACTATTTGGAGAGCGGAATCTAACATGTGAAGCCAAATTGAATTGATAGAAAACATTCATGTAATTGAGTACCAGTCATTGGGAACTCTCAAAATATATTCTTTTGCTTGAAAATGAATATTGACCCAGCTTGCTAACAAAAACTAACCAGTGGTTTAGGGTCTTATATAAAACAAACTAGGGGTGAACCAAATGGCATATCTGCATATAAAAAGAAAACTTGGCCACCAACAATCTAAAAGCAACGCCAAAATAAATTTCTGGCACTCTTTTTCTGGTCCAAAAGTCAAAAATTGAAACTTGAAGGTTAGAAGCAGTAGTGAAATCATTTTTTTTATGTCCGCTGTCAAAGCAAGTAAGTGTCTCCAACCTTCCTACACCATAGAACACAATAAATTCAAAGTGGATCAGGTGCAAGTGCAACACCAATGGTGATTGGTGACTGAGACAACTAAAGTACAACCTCACCACAAAATTGAAACACTCCTCGAAGTTGAGAAGTACGGAAAAAATTATCCTATGAAATTTCTAAGTAACTGAGATATAAATAGTTCCCTTTGAGCCAAAGTTTCACCCAAATCGCCCCTCCTAGTGATTCAATTTGACTACACTAGCAAGGAGCAAGCCTAAAGTTGTAATTTTTTTTTCCTCTTTGATTGATGAAAAGATCTCTATCAATGACCAATTCCCCAATGCCTATCAAAGAGAGCATTTTCAAGGAAACAATTGTCATGAAGAAAAAAAGCTCCAATCTTTTGGAACTATCCTGTGATTCAGTACCAATTGCCGTGAAGAACTGGAAGATGGCAGAACAGGTCAACAAACAAACAAATAAAAATTGCGAACTCACCAATCCAAGGCGGTGATGACGACGCCGGCCCAGAGCGGCAGGTACCCGCGGCTGAGGATCTTGATGGCGATGGCGCTGCCGATGACCTCCTGAATGTCGGCCCCCACCATGGCGACCTCGGCCATGAGCCAGAGCGCGCGGCGCGCCCAGTCCGGGTACTCGTCGCGGCAGAGCTCGGCGAGGTGGCGGCCCGTGGCGACGCCGAGGCGCGCGGCGAGGAGCTGCACGAGGAGGCCCATGGCGGTGGCCCACATGAGCAGCCACAGCAGCGTGTCCCCGGCGACGGCGCCCGCCTGGAGGTCCCCCTCGAGGTTGCCCGGGTCCAGGAACGCGATGCTCATCAGGAACCCGGGCCCCGTGAAGAGCCAGAGCTTCCGCCACGAGAAGGGCGGCGTGGAGGAGGAGGAGCAGAGCGCCGCGTCGTCGCCGTCCGCCGGGTCCGGCCCGTCCGAGATGGACACGATGACCTTCTCCGCCGCCTCGTACGCGCGCTCCTCCAGGTCCTCGTCGTCGTCGTCGTCGTAGTCCGGCGCCGGAGCGGAGGCGGGGAGCAGCGCGCGCGCCTCCTCGACGGCCCTGGCGGGGTCGGGGGCGGCGTCCCCGGCACCGCCGGCGGGGGCGGCCATCGAGATGCGTCGCGAGGCGGGCGGACGTGGACGACGCGGGAGGCGGGTAAGGCACGTGGTTGGCACGTGCCCGCCTCGGTTCAGGATGCTTTGGATTTGCTCTTCAAGTGATAATGCCTTTGTCCCTTCTGGGGCCTTAACCCTTATATACTTTAGCGTCATCTTTGCTGTGATTAGTTATATATGTAATAAATATATGTATGTTTCATACTCCAGTGAAATTGTAATTCCTTAGGGTTTTTTTGGTTCTTGGAACGATTCCCAGCCAAAATTATCAGTTACAGCCTGTTCGTTGGTTCGATAAGCCGCTTATGTTGGTTTGTACGGCTGATTTATTGTGAGAGAAAAACATTGTTCTATGACTGATAAGCCCTGGCTAAAACCAACAAGCGAACAAGCTGGCTATTGGGCCTGTTCGCTTGGAGGAATTCAGAAGAAATTTGGATGGTTTGGAGGAATGCTGGAGGAATTTGTGAGAGAAAAACGTTGTTCTGGATTAAAAAAAACGGATCAAGCCGAATTTAAGGGCACATAAACAGAACGTTAATTTGTATAATCTTGCGTCAGCCGGAATGGTTCCAGATTCATTTCGGACTAACTGAACGAGCCTTAGTCCAATTTGAAACCGGCGTTGCTGCGTCTGCGTGATATCTGATCTATCTGACTGGTCAAATTAATGATAGACCGATTTTGTTGACAGTAAGTGAAGAAAAAACAGCTAGTTTTGTAATGCCCTGAACGCTAAGTTGTGCATGTTTGCCAGCCAAACTCGACCAATAAACAAAATGTGGACTGCTACATCGCCATCATCATGTGTACAACTTACAAGGGGAAATGGTTCGTGAAGGAGAGTAGAAAAATCCACTGATATCTTGTACTAGTTTTTGTGGTGAAAGTACCAAATGGCGTTTTTCTAAGCTTTGATGGATTGCTAGCCGTCGCTTTTAAGAAAAATCGAATGGGCCAGAAAGAAAGATACGATGAGTAGCGACAGTTCATTTCATTCAGAATAAAGTGACAGAATATCAGGAGTAGCACCAACCATGGCCACACACAGACACACTGTAGGTGGTGGGCCCGTACAAAATACACGAGTGTTTAGCGTTTTTCTCGAAAATACAGCACCTGTTGGTAGCTAGAGCCCTGCTTTGGACATCAATCACCATGGTCATTGTTGAACTGTTCGGCTGGTATTAAAGCCGCCTGATAAGTTAACTGAAGCTATTTTATTGTGAGAGAAAAATACCGTAGATTCTAGTTGATAAGCCGGCTGATAAGTTCAAGCGAACATGCCCTTTTGTTCATTCTTAAAAAATATATAGGGGCATTTTAATCTTGTTCTTGTTGTCTTTCACCATGTTTATAGAGAAAATCACTCGAGCGTCTACAGGACCAGATTAATCTAATTAAATGTACCATAAAAAGACGCTTAAACAGTGTGCTTGTTCGGTATTATAGATATTTTTGTAGTTTTCATATATTTAGTCAATAAAAAAAACTGATAGATTTGACTTACAACAAAACTTAAAACAACTTACTTTTGAGAACAGAGGGAATTCATCTCTTTTTCTTCTCATACCCTTCTCTGCTATCTCACATAGCCTTTGGATAGTATTTGCATATTATTATCTCTGGCAATATCTTTTTGTCAAAAGAAATCTCCGTCAATATCTTAGCAGTTAGTCTATTTGGTATTCCTATTTAATTAGCAGCTACATAAGGAATTTCGCTATTCACGATTAAAGAGGCTCTGCAAAACACTGTTTGGGGTCCAAGCAGTCCTGTTGACGCTCTCCAATTGCTTGCGGATCTTGCTCATATGAAATGTACTGGTTTATCTCTAGCTCTTGTTAGATGGTAGCAAGCAGCAGACAACTTGATTTTTTGCTTGCATTATAGTAAGGAGGTTGGTTTAGATCACCACACTGCAAACGCTCCTTTAGCAATGTATAGCTTGGAATAGAAATAAGATGTGTTGCGCCATCTATTCTACAGCCCACTATTCCTCAAGGTTGAGTGGTCCATAAAAATTTCTTATAGGCAAACAGTTTAGTACAATAATTTTTTTGTGATGATACTTTGGCCGATACAGATCTGTCAATTCTATCCTGCTTCACATGTCTGAGTAGTTTATTTCTTCATGGGCACATGCTCAGCTTGACATGTGAGACTTTTGAGTAGTAATCCAATTGTTCGTTGGCCTACATGCTTACAAAAAAAACTTAAGAGTACTGAAATGCTCACTCACATATGTTAATTTCGTGTGCTACTACAACTAGGATCGTTGCTTAGTATTTATAATTTATTTTAGGGCTGTTAGCAGGATTGAAGTATCTCTAGATTGCAATTTCTTATTTGCAGAAGACTTTTCGTAATGTCTTGGGGAAATGTTTGAGGTCTTGAGTTGAGTGTGTATATGCATCCAATTGCTTAGTGTTTTAGTGACTTGTTCTGATTATTATTTTATAGTTAAAACATATATACCAAATTTTAGGCCGTGGAAATGATTAATTCTTGCATGGCTGAAAGGACAAAGAGGAAAAGTGAAGAAGAAAGTAACAAGATTCTGCTGAAGACAATCCTTATGTATTGTGCACTTGTTGTTTACATGGTTCCAACTTAGTTGTAATTACGAAGTATGTATGGACATAGTACAATTATTGGTTAGTGTTCATATTGCCATTTGTTATGGTATTGCTCATACATGATTCTTAAACTTATTTTGTTCTTCAAATCACGGCAGGGCGTCTGATGTTCTAGTGTGATTGTATTGGAGGATGTCCAAAGAGGAGAGAGAGCACATCTGGGCATCGTGAAACTTTTGCATTTTAGACCTTTTTGAAAACTTATCTTATAAATAGACCCTCCACACCCTCAAATAGCACGGGCCCAGCTCTAGTGTATTTGGTATTTTGAATTGAATACCAGCTACATAAGGAATTTCACTATTCATAATTAAAGAGGCTTTATTTATAGCCAGGACAAAAAATACTATTTGCAAGATAACCTCGATCTGGGTCCCAGACTGTACTGTCGCCGTATCAAAATCCTTATCATATATCCCCTGCCTCTGTTGACCCTACCATGGAAAATGGAGTTCAAATGGACGGCTGAGGCCTGAGGTAAATTAGAAACCAAGAGGCCATGCCCATGACTACTCAACAGTGAGCAGAGAGCACCATGCATGTGCTTGTGGAACACCCAAATGGCACACTCAACTCACAAGTCACAACTCAAAGTATAGCGCATGATGAGCCTGAGATGCATGTATTTTTTTCGAACCGGAAGGCATCCCCCATTTCCATTAAACGGCATTAACGGAAATACATCATGTTTAAGAGTTTCCAGAAGATGAACAGAAGAAGAAGAAAAACAGAAACTAAGAGAGGCTACTTCCTTACGACCAGTACAACCACCTCGAGCATCACATATTAACAAAAGCAACGTTTAAGACGCAGACAGAAGTAACATCTACAGATTTGCCAAGACCACAGATCTGGCACACCAAAAAGAAGGCAGCGTCTTTTTGTGAATCAACGTAGAAACCTTGCTTCAATCTGGAACCCTCTTCTTGTTGAGCTTCAGGTTGCATCCCTGTTGTCGCTATTGTCCTCCAGGAGCTGCACATTACTTGTTTTCTTCTTCTTCACCAGCTTCATCGCAATCTGTAGCATGGTGTTGATGCCAGCCTCCAGCGCTTCCTTATCAACATCTGGATAGAGGCCTGCCCAGTAACTCATCAGGACACACGCATAACACACAATAGAAGCAGGGTCATGTATTGTTTTGCCCTCAAAACATATTTTGTTCCTAGTTTTCCATATGACCCAACATACTGCAGCAATACCAAGAGTGTGATATTTTTTAGCCAACGGTAACCATTTTTCACACCAAACCCAAGCTTGTTCAAGAGATTTAGGAATATTGTTTGCTCCCAAACTTAAAGCAATGATAGCCCATACGGCTTTAGCAACACTGCATTGGAATAAAAAGATGGTTGAATGTTTCAGCTTGACTACAGAAATAACAGGATGGATCACCCTGCCACCTCCTTTTCAACATATTATCCTTAGTTAAGATGGCATTGTTCAAAACTAACCACAAAAAAAATCTTAATCTTAGCCGGAATTTTACCCTTCCAAACTTTCTTATGATAAGGTCCAGTATCATTCTTAGTTAGAGCGTTATATACTGATTTAACTGTGAAACGCCCATGACAACCAAATTTTCAAGTGACTATATCATCACCCTCACAAAGTTGTACACTAGCAGCATCCACAAGAATATTATCCCATTCTACTCTCCAAATGTCAACTAACCATCTTGTATAAGTTACCAACTGAGGATCAGACTTGAATTGAAATACAGTCAAGTCCTGTTGTTTGACACATGGAAAATAAATCAGGGAAAAGTAGATATAAGGGTTGATCATATAACCAGATGTCTTTCCAAAAAAGAGTTTTCTGCCCATTTCTAACTTTTATCTTTCTTCCTTGCAAGTAGATATTTCGGATTTTCATCAAGTCATACCATATAGGGGAATCTATCTGCCTATGTTTCACAGTACAGACAGATTTATTTTTGATATACTTGTATCTTATAATCTCTTGACAAAGCCCTTGCTCATTTTCAAGTTTCCACCACCATTTACAGAGCAGACTGATATTCATAAGTTTAATGTCCTTTATTTCCAGGCCTCCCTTTTTCTTGCTTTTACAAATCTTAGGCCATCTAACTAAATGGTACTTCCTTCTAGTCCCCCCCCCCCTTGCCAAAAGAAAGTTCGTCTAAGTTTATCCAGATTATTCGCCACCGTTTTTTGCAACATATAGATAGACATTTGATATATGAGAGCATTATTGAGACTAGAACTAATAAGGGTGGACCTCCCTGCAATGGACATTGATCCCCCTTTCCATACAGCCAACCTCTTCTTACTCTTTTCTTCTAAAGGCAGATAGTCAATAAGGTGCAATCTACTGGGGCTAACAGGGACCCTG